CCCTCAGGGGAGAGGACACAGAGGACTGGGATGGGACGAGATCTACTCTACACTATATAACCTTTTATACTACTTGAATTTTTACCACACAAAATAACCTATTAAAAATAGACGAATGCTTAAATAAATAAGAAATATAGGTGGCTCCATAAACAGAGACACCTCTAGAAAACATTAGGCATATTGGGGGAAAATGGTACATTTTCTGGCAAGTTACAGCATTTTACCAAATACTGTCCTGGCTGAATGCTAACAATCCACCCTCCTTCCCTGCCAGCTCTCTTTATGTCAAATCCAGTTTAGCTTTACTTAATTTGCTTTGTTTTTACACAAAATTTTCTTTGTTTTACACAAATGTGCTTAATTTGCTTTGTTTTACACAAAAATTTTGTCCACTCAGGACAAAAATTTAGCATAGTGAGTTTATTTTAGTTATATGGTTGGAATTTGACTGCTTTTTAAAGATTCAATTTAGGGCCGGCCCCGTGGCTTAGCGGTTAAGTGCACGCGCTGCGCTGCTGGTGGCCCGGGTTCGGATCCCGGGCGCACACCACTTCTCCGGCCATGCTGAGGCCGCGTCCCACATACAGCAACTAGAAAGATGTGCAGCTATGACATACAACTATCTACTGGGGCTTTGGGGGGAAAAAATAAATAAATAAAATCTTTAAAAAAAAAATAAAGATTCAATTTTATTTCACTCACCAGTAACATTCTTCAGTATATTTTGTTTTTGCCATTGTTTCATTGGTAATTTGTCATAGTACTTCTATTTTCTTGCTATCTTATGACTCATACAAGAAATAAGAATTCAAGAAATTTTAATATAACTAAGATAATTGAAAAAATATTTAATTAGTTTTGTCAAGTTTTAAAAAACCAAAACACTACTTTCAAAACCTTAAATGACCAAGTCCTCATTTCTAACTAAATCTGAGATTTAAGACTTTCCTCCACAAAATCAGAGGATTAATTCGTTCCCCCTGACAATAAGAAACAGTAGGGACACATATATAAAACCCAGGATAGAGAGGGTATTACTGCAAAGAGGGAATTTATGATAAACTTTGACAGAATAAAATAAAGAGATGAAATACTGTCGTTTTGTTGAGCAGAGTGTCTGGAGCCCTGCGCTCACTGAAGGAAGCAACGCCCCACCATGAACACATTGATCTGACAACACATGATCAGAAAAGAGCACATGTGCTGGCCAGTCTTTCCTCTAAAGACACTAAGTATGGAAGGAGGGGTATCACTAACATTAATGAAATATCTTCATTTTTAAAAGGCTAGAAAAAAACAGATATCCAATAAAAAAAAAAGTATCATGTTATCCCATCATTTAGGGATATAATCACTATGAAGGTTTTGAGACAGATCCCTCCAGATTTTTTTAATGCAAACAGAAATATACACGTTATTTTATAAAAATGTAATTTTAAACTGTTCAGACATAAAATCTTAGCATTTTATAGTTCTATTCCATGCTTTATTTTTAAAGTTAAATGAAATTAATGAAATGGACTATACTATGAAAAATTATACAAAATAAGGATAGATCCCTACCTTATTTGTTTATATAAAATAAATTCTAGATGAAACAAAAATTTAGATTGGTGGTCGTGATAGTGTGACAGAAGAAGTGCTAGAAGAAAACATGGGTAGGGGCCGGCCCCATGGCTTAGCGGTTAAGTGCGCGTGCACGCGCACCGCTACTGGCGGCCCGGGTTTGGATCCCGGGCGCGCACCGACGCACCGCTTCTTCGGCCATGCTGAGGCCGCGTCCCACATACAGCAACTAGAAGGACGTGCAACTATGACAGACAACTATCTACTGGGGCTTTGGGGCGGGGGGGAAGGAGGAGGATTGGCAATAGATGTTAGCTCAGAGCCAGTCTTTCTCAGCAAAAAGAGGAGGAGTAGCATGGATGTTAGCTCAGGGCTGATCTTCCTCACAAAAAAAAAAAAAAAAAGAAAACATGGGTAAATTAGTTTTATTTTTTTTATTTTTATTTTTTTTATAAATATCTTTTTTTTTTTTTTAACAATTTTATTTATTTATTTTTCCCCCCAAAGCCCCAGTAGATAGCTGTATGTCATAGTTGCACATCCTTCTAGTTGCTGTATGTGGGACGCGGCCTCAGTGTGGCCGGCGAAGCGGTGCGTCAGTGCGTGCCTGGGATCCGAACCCGGGGCGCCAGCAGCGGAGCGCACGCACTTAACCGCTAAGCCACGGGGCCGGCCCAGTAAATTAGTTTTAAAATCTTGACAAGAAAATCTTTCTAAACATTGCACAAAATGGGAAAAAAGTAAACAAAATTAATAAATATGATACTTAAAACATGAAATTCTGGAGACCGGCTCGGTAGTGTAGTGGTTAAGTTCGAGCATTCCACCTCAGCAGCCCAGGGTTCGCCAGTTCAGATCCTGGGCGCGGACCTACTCACCACTCATCAAGCCATGCTGAGGTGGCGTCCCACACAGAAGAACTAAAAGGACCTACAACTAGGGTATACAACTACGTACTGGGGCTTTGAGGAGAAAAACGAAAAACAAGAGGAAGATTGGCAACAGATGTTAGCTCAGGGCCAATCTTCTTCAAAGGAAAAAAAAAGAAAGAAATTCTGCTTTATAACTAAATATCATAAACAATACCACAAGACAAATGATAAAGGCCAACTTCCATAATAGATAAGAACTCTTAGAAAAACAAAAAGGATGAAAAACTCAATATGAAAATGCTAAGTTCTACAAATAGGAGGTTCACAGAAAAACATAAATACAAGCGATCAATGAACTGTGCCATCAGATTGAGCACCTTGAAAGAAATGCAAAATTTTAAAGTGAGATCATTTTCCACTTATCAGGGTGATAAAATTATCACAAAAAGAAAAGAGACACCCCAAATATCACTACCTAATAACTAACCTACTAAATAATATAATTTTCTCCTAAGTGTTTGCCATCTGCTTTTGAGAGCAGTGCTTTTTCCTTTACCTCTGATTCCCCTGCACCTCACACAAGACCACCACTAATGTTTGTTGGAAAAAACGTGAATAAATGAAATGCTTTCCAAAAGTAATGCATCAATTCACAATCCTACCAGCAATATATAAAAGTTTTAGCTGTACTCTTGTCACTTTTTTGTAACTTAACAGGCAAAAACATAATAATGGCTCTTTCTTTCCATTTTAATTTGCAGTCCTATTATTGAAATCATTCTTAAAAGTACTGCTATACCATTAAGCCTAGTTCCAAAAATCATCTGAAGAAATAATGGTCAAAAATATCCCAAATTTGGGCCTGGCCCTGTGGCCGAGTGGTTAAAGTTCCGTGTGCTCCACTTCGGCAGCCTAGGTTTGTGGGTTTGATCCCGGGTGTGGATCTACTCCACTCAGCAGCCATGCTGTGGAGGTGTCCCATGTACAAAAAAAAATAAAGGAGGATTGACAGAGACATTAGCTCAGGGTGAATCTTCCTCAACAAAAAAATAAATAAATGAAATAAAATATGGGCCAGCCCCGTGGCTTAGTGGTTAAGTGTGCGCGCTCCGCTGCTGGCGGCCCAGGTTCGGATCCCGGGCGCGCACCGACGCACTGCTTCTCCGGCCATGCTGAGGCCGCGTCCCACATACAGCAACTAGAAGGATGTGTAGCTATGACATACAACTATCTACTGGGGTTTTGGGGGAAAAAAATAAATAAATAAAATTATTAAAAAAAATAAAATAAAATAAAAAATCCCCAATTTGTTGAAAGATAAATTTATAACAAGTCAGCTAATCCCAAGCAAGATTAAAAACAAAGAAAATCACACTTACACTCATCCTAGTGTAACTGCTGAAAAACAAAGAGAGACAATCTATTCTGAGAGAAAAATGCACCTACACACGACTGTGAACTTCCAATCAGACACAATGAAGGCCAGAAGATAGTGCAGCGACATCTCTGAAAGAGCTGACTGAAAGGAAAAAAACAAGACAACAACAACAAAACCCCACTACCAACCTAGAATTCTATATTCAGAGAAAATATCCTCCAAGAATGAAGATGAAATAAAGACAATTTCAGATTAAAAACAACAAACATAGGAAAACTAAGACCTGTACTATAAGAAATGCTGAAAGGAAATCTTCAGACTGAAGAGAAATGATACCTTATGGAAACTAGAATCATCAGGAAATGGTAATTATGTGGCTAAACATAAAAGACTCCTCTGTTCCTTTTAATTTCTTTAACATACATATGACTGTTCAAAGCAAAAATAATGGGGTTTATAATGTACATAAACAAAAATATAACTTACCCAACCTGAGACAGATGAAAGAGAAAATCTGAATAGCACTCATCTATTGAAGAATTTGAATTCATTACCAAAAATTTCCCATAAGAAAACCTAGGCCAGATGGTTTCACTGGTGAATTCTATGAAGCATTTGAGGAAGAAATAATATCTATCTTATACAAGCTCTTTCAGAAAATAGAGGAGGAAGAAGGACTTCCCAACTCATATGTTCAGCATAACCCTGAAACCAAAACCTGGCAGAGACATTACAAGGAAAGAAAAGTATGAACCAATCTTTCTTGTGAAGATAGAAGCAAATATTCCTAATAAAATACTAACAAGTTGAATCACAATTTACAAAAAAGATAATACATTCTTCATCCCCCCCAAAGTCCCAGTAGATAGTTGTATGTCATAGCTGCATGTCCTTCTAGTTGCTGTATGTGGGACGCCGCCTCAGCATGGCCAGAGAAGCAGTGCGTCGGTGCGCGCCGGGATCCGAAACCGGGCCGCCAGTAGTGGAGCACGCGCACTTAACCGCTAAGCCATGGGGCCGGCCTAATACATTCTGACTAGAAGGGTTTATCACAAGATTGAAAGGTTGGTTTAACATTTGACATCCAATCAATGTAATTCATAATATTAGTAGAATAAGTGAGATTAAAAACAATGTGCTGATTTCAATAGATGCCATGTTAATCTTATTTAGCTACTCACTTTAAGTTTTCTAGTTCCTGTTTTCTCAGTGGAGAAGAAGGTGGAGCTGGAATGAATTTATCTCCATCATGGCTTTTACTGCTAAAATAAAGAGAGACTCTTAATTATGAAGAGCAACAATGAAACAATAAAATGTAAAATTTTGTTTCCTATCCTCACTCCTATGCAATTTTTTATGACAAAGTGTAAAAGAGCCAAAACAATGAAATATGCTTGGTAACTTGGTATCACTAACATGTTAAGGCTATACTGTATATTAGTTTTTTCCTCAGTACACAATATCTCTACTATACAAAAGAAACCACTCCAATATTTTTATACATTTCTCATTCTTCTGATTGCCTTTTATCAACTACAGTAAAACATAACCCTTTGATGGAGGAAAAAAAAAAATCCCACTATTTTGTTTCAAATTTTCTATAATAAACATGCATTTCTATTATAGTTAAGAAAAAATGCTAGGATGGGAGACGAGTTTAAAGGTGCCATGTGTAAAGAGAACTTTCTATATATAATGGCATTTGTTTTCTTATTACTAGATAAGCTCTTCCAATTTCCATAGATTGGCATAATATTTAATTTATATTAGAAAACTAGACATATCCTGGAGGTGTGTAGTTTACAGTATGTTAAGAGAAAAGGCAGCGAATAATAAGAAATGGAAAGTTTTAGGATTTTAGTATTTATTTTAATAAAAGTAAAAACAGGCTGTCTCTGATAGCACCAGGATTTCTTGAAACTGTTCCTACTGTTAATGAAAAGCTGTTACTTTCCACTTTTCTCTTTTAGCATTCTCTCCTCACTTAGCCTTCTTATTTCTCTCTTCCAGAAATACTTAAACATTCATACTTTCCTTTCTTATTATTCAAAACAGAGAATTTTGGAAATTCAGGCTGAAAATTTTAGGAATTCATCTAAAGGACAAAGAGGCTTACTAATGGAGCCCTGAAGGGATTTTGCCAAGAGGGTTCAAAGGGATGAGAATACCTGCAAGTTTCACTGCTTTCACTGCTCTCCGTGTTCCCACCTAATTGATTATTATTTTTAGACCCATTTTCCTGCTTCGGATCTTGTTGTTCTTCAGGTAACAGCAACAAGGCATTTCTGAGACAAATGGCCGCAAACTCCATACTGGCAACAGGAATGGCTGAAGACTGTCCGTCACTTAAAAGAACAAAACCAAATTAACTAAGTAAATAACATAAAAATAAGTAAGACTTTTCTATTATCAGGAATAAAACCAATCTAATTATAAACGAAAACTTTGTCCTTTGATAGGTAGAAATTTTAATATAAGCAGTTAGGAGAATGCTAAAGAACCTAAATCCTAAATATCACACATGAGATGTAAAAAACTACAGATTGTAAGTACAGTCATGCGTTGCTTAACAACGGGGATACGTTCTGAAAAATGTGTCGTAAGGTCATTTTGTTGTGGTGCAAATATCACAGCGTATACTTACACAAACCTAGATGATACAGCCAAGTATCTGGGCTATATGGTACTAATCTTACGGGACCACCATCATATATACGGTCCATTGTTGAGCAAAACACCCTTATGATGTGCAGGACTGTATATACATTATACGCATGTGTCTCTAGAAATGGGACCAAGGATGAGAGACAACTTGAAGGATTACCTGCAACATCAATCTTAATGTAACAGGGGAGTTACAGACAAGGCAAATTGTAATGAAGGCTAGGACAGGCATAGTAAGAATTGGAAAGAAAATAGATTTTCACATTTGAGCCTTGTTTTGATTGATCCTTGCTTTAGAAAATGCCGTAGCTATAAGTTTTGAAAAAAGCAGCATTATCTCTTATAATTTTATTGAGATTTTATATAACTTTCTATTGATTTTATATATCAAACTGAGTCAGCTTTATTAGCGAAAAATGTGAAAAGTAGTAACAATTTTGAAATTGTAGGAAAATGATGCTTTATCTTAAGCCTTAAAAAAAAAATCTGCATTATAGTTGAAATAAATTAAGACCAAAACATTGTGTGCCAGATACTACTGAAAAACTTTGGAAAAACTTTAGATGGTAGCGAACAATTTTATTTTTTTGGAAAAGATAAAAAGCAGCAAATTTTTTTACACAGTCTACTATTTTAGAAATAATAGCAGCCGGCCCCGTGGCTTAGCGGTTAAGTGCGTGTGCTCCACTACTGGCGGCCCGGGTTCGGATACTTGGCGCACACCAACGCACCACTTGTCCGGCCATGCTGAGGCGGTGTCCCACATACAGCAACTGGAAGGATCTGCAACTATGACATACAACTATCTACTGGGGCTTTGAGGAGAAAAAGGGGAAAAAAAGGAGGACTGGCAATAGATGTTAGCTCAGGGCCAATCCTCCTCAAGAAAAAGAGGAGGATTGGCATGGATATTAGCTCAGGGCTGATCTTCCTCACAAAAAAAAGTAATAATAATAATAGGAACCCCAAATTGGAATCTTATTATTTTATAAGATAAAGATGTTCATATTTCAAAGTTGTTCAACTGAAAGTTCTACATGTGACAGCTTGATATTGCTTTGGTTGCTTTATGTATTAGTACTTTTTTCCCCTAATACTAAGAATTAGCTTTAGGGACTATGAGAAAATACCTAAATGAAAAGTATCAATGATAAACTATATAAAAAGGAAACATCAAGATGCCCTCTTCTGGACATTCTGAATAATGGCACTGACTAGACCAGGGTTTCTTAGGCCATCAGCAATTTCAGCACCCATGGATGTAATAAACTCACATCACTTGTCAGATAACATTCATTATGGACCTATGTCTGAGAGTCTATTTGTTGAAGTAGCAATAAAACCTGTTTACAAAGTGGTACCTCCTATGAAATGATAAGTCTTTTTTTTTTAAATTTTATTTATTCCCCCCCCCCTAAAGCCCCAGTAGATAGTCGTACATCATAGCTGCACATCCTTCTAGTTGCTGTATGTGGGACGCGGCCTCAGCATGGCCGGAGAAGCGGTGCGTTGCTGCGCGCCCGGGATCTGAACCCGGGCCACCAGTAGCGGAACGCACACACTCACCCGCTAAGCCACAGGGCCAGCCCTGAAATGGTAAGTCTTAAGCATATTTTTATACATCAGTAACATTAATGTGAAATACTATTAAATATGAACACTCTTTGCAAAATACTTACTTATATACAGTATTCTGTATGGACTGTGATGCCAGAACTATTTTACGATGATACCCTTGACCAACAATAGACTGTACAATTCCCTTTTTGCTTGGAAGACCTTTAGTTTCTTGTTCAGAAGTCTATAAAATAAAAATAATTTCCAATTAATTCAATGGAATTGTAAGACGAGGTATGAAAAATGATCTAACACCTTTATAGTTACTCTAAGAAAATTCTTAAGATCCATCAATGTGGAGTTTTTGGTGATAAAGAAAATATGTTCAGTATTGAATTAAAGAGTACATGGGGCTGAAAGTCTGTGACATACGCTATATTTTATTAATACGAGGTTTGAGATAATTCTAAGGAAAAAAGGCAATTTAAGAATGACTCAAGTATTTATTTAGAATGACTTATTTAGAATATCCTACACCCCAGGCACCCTGATGCCTATTACGGGCACTCTGACATCAGAGTAAGAAAAATAAGAAAGCCATAAAAACACAGTGAAAAAGAAAAGGGGAGCAGTTCCACTTGCTAAAAGACAGATCTTTTCCTTCTTAATTGAAAGTATTAATTAAACTGTCAACAACATATACACTCTAATAAGCTATATATATTAAGATTTACATGGGCATAATTCTTGCCTTCTAGGAAATCCCAAAACCCTGTAAACTTTAAACTGAAAATAGTAAAAGCTACTTACGAGTGTGTGTGTATATATAAATATAGTATTTTAGGATATTTCACTAAGATACATTATCTCACTATAGGAGTTTGACAGTGCCAATTTAATTTATCTTCCCCCTTCACTCTGCCTCTGATTTACTTGCAGGTGGAATCCCAACTAGTCATTTTATAAAGTCATCCAGATTCTCATATACAGGAACAAACTGAAGCCAATCCATATGAACTTCCAGAGCTAAATTCTGCCCTGCAATAAGTCCTTCTCTCAACACAATGTTTCTGTACTGTGAATTATTGCTCCCTAATATAACTTGATTATAATTGCGCTTCCATATATGACTTTTAATAAAACAAGGATTCACTTGTGTATTCATTTAAAAAAGAAAGTATGCTTAAAAAACACAAAACTGCTCTGGGGCTGGCCCAGTGGCAAAGCGGTTAAGTGTGAGTGCTCCGCTTCAGCGGCCCGGGGTTCGAGGGTTTGGATCCCAGGTGCACATCGATGCACCGCTTGTCAAGCCATACTGTGGCGGTGTCCCATATAAAGCAGAGGAAGATGGGCACGGATGTTAGCCCAGGGCCAATCTTCCTCAGCAAAAAGAGGAGGATTGGCATCAGATATTAGCTCAGGGCTGATCTTCCACACACACACACACAAATAAAAAATTGCTCTGATTGGAAGAAATTTTGTGTCTAGGAGGTAGCCAAGCAATATTGATGAAAAATAAGAAAAAGTGGATAGTCTGAACATTATCAGAAGGACTTTCATTCTAACTTTTCCTAGTAGTGGTGATAAATTTATAATGATTCACCCATCTCTCTTCCCCGATCTTTAAGGCCATGCAAGTTGATCAGATGGCTATATCTGGAGATACAACAGATGACAATGATGGATGAAACTAAAAATCTGAAATAATAAACCATACCTTCATTAATATACCAATAGCCAGAAAGTGTGCCAGATCAGTCTTTTTTTTTTTTTCTTTTTTTTGGTGAGGAACATCAGCCCTGAGCTAACATCATGGCAATCCTCCTCTTTTTGCTGAGGAAAACTGGCCCTGAGCTAACATCATGGCAATCCTCCTCTTTTTGCTGAGGAAAACTGGCCCTGAGCTAACATCATGGCAATCCTCCTCTTTTTGCTGAGGAAAACTGGCCCTGAGCTAACATCTATTGCCAATCCTCCTCCTTTTTTTTTTTTTTTTCCTCTTTTTCTTCCCAAAGCCCCAGTAGATAGTTGTATGTCATAGTTGCAGATCCTTCTAGTTGCTGTTTGTGGGACACTGCCTCAGCATGGCTGGACAAGCAGTGCGTCAGTGTGCGCCCGGATCTGAACCCAGGCTGCCAGTAGCGGAGTGTGCACACTTAACTGCTAATCCATGGGGCCAGACCCCAGATCAGTCTTAATGCAAAAGAATCAAATGAAATTAAAATATCCATTATTTTATAGTGCCTTGGTGGTAAAAGTACTCAACAAATCTGAGTTGCGGAACTCAGAAAAGTAAATGGTACATTTTATGTTTTATTTTATTATTATTTATTTATTTATTTTGTCGAGGGATACTGGCCCTGAGCTAACGTCTGTTGCCATGGCCCTGAGTGAACATCCATGTGCATCCTTCTCTATTTAATATGTGGGAGGCCGCCACAGCATGGCTTGATGAGCAGTCCACAGGTCCACACCCAGCTTCCGAACCTGCAAACCTTGGGCCACCGAAGCAGAGCACACAAACTTAACCACTATTGCCACAGGGCCGGCCCGTTATGTTTTTATTTTTAATAGCTTTCTCTTAAATTGGTTAAATACTCTCCCTACAATTGAGCTTATGTTTACTTAGCAGATCTTTTCTCATATATTATACACTACCCAGGTAAGCATAAGCCCTGCTCTGCCAAAAGGTCTGAAGCAACATCATGTAAACAGAACAAAATGATGTCCCTGGCATCACCAACTTAACAATTAATTGGTATTTATCAAAAAATAAATTTATTTCTGAAGTTACAAACTGCTTTGTTCAGCATCCCTTCTGTCCTGACTAAATAAAAGAAATTTTATGGAATTTTATTTGGACATTATAATTTCTCCTATTGGGATTTTGTTCTCTGATTTTACTCAAGAATGTTTTGGGGTTGTTTTTACTGCCTTTTAGGTCATCTCAGATCCTTTTTAGAAGCATGAGACGCACAGACAAAGACAGATAATTATTTATGGCAAATTTCCTATTAGTAGCACAGAGTATGAGTGTCCTGGTATCCAGCAAGTTATGGCAACCAACTCATTTTTTAAAAATTACAAATTTAGAACTTTCTAGAAGAAAATGGGGAGAAAAACCTCATAATGAAATTCATAGAACAAAGATAATCTTAAAAGTACTATTCCTAAAACTAAGTAATTTAAATAAAATTAAACCTTACTATATGTCTCTACTCCCAGGAAGATGTAATTTCCTGGCTTCCAATAACCGTACAAAAGAAAGGCTTCCAACACTTAAATTCATGAATGGATTAAAGAGAACAGCAATTTCTAGAGATCCTTTTATTCAAAAAAGTACAAATTCTGCCTAGAATTATCAGTTAATTTTAGAATTATCCAATAAGAAAGCTGTCCTTTAAAAGGACAAGTACAGGGCCGGCCCCGTGGCTTACTGGTTAAGTGCGCACGCTCCGCTGCTGGTGGCCCAGGTTCGGATCCCGGGTGCGCACTGACGCACCGCTTCTCCGGCCATGCTGAGGCCGTGTCCCACATACAGGAACTAGAAGGATGTGCAGCTATGACATACAACTATCTACTGGGGCTTTGGGGGAAAAAATAAATAAAAAATTTAAAAAAAATAATAAAAAAATAAAAGGACAAGTACGATGAAATAAACCATTAAAGCCTTTCAAAGACAACACTCATCTCCTCCCCGAATGGTGTACTCAAACTGCCAGGCAAACATTTTGCTTTAAAGCCTTTCGTTCTTGCAGTTGTTTCTCAGGAAGTGCTGTTTAGCAGCAGGAGAGCCTAAACATTTAATATCACCTATGGCGAGCATGGCAGGTGAAACCTCATGCCATAGCCCCCCAGTCTCCACATACCCAAAGAGCACACAAGGGCGAGGGGTGGCTAGGAAATGGGATGATACAGACATCTGGTAATTCTTTCTTTCCCCTACCTTCCCCTACCTCCCAATGACCCCTCCCCACTTGAGATTCAAAAGGCTTCCACGAACTGCTATTTGGAGATAATCTAGGCATGGACACTGATGTAAACGGGCCTGTTTCTTAGCCACTGGGGACAAATGTTTGTCAGAAAGAAACAGCCTAGTAATCCGTGAACTCTAAACCATTTACTAATTCAAAACTAAAGCCGCCAGGCACTGAAGGAAATGCAGTGTAATGCAGTTCTTTCCACACTCACTATGTTATCATCAGTCCTTCTCTAATCACCGGGTGCACACACCATTCTCACGCCAGCAGATGGTGTGGCCCCTGCCCCAGCAGCTAGCAGACCACTGTTCCAACAGATATGACTTTCTTACTGGCTTCAACTCTTTAATGTGACTACTGATACATATTGCCATACTTACCAAGAACCACAGAAATAACTTTATGAAACCGAATTTTTTTGTCCAACTGTTAAAGAATAGAAGACTATAAATTCCCCGAGAGTCAAAAAGGGGATGAGGTCTTATATGTTTCCCAGTATCTTTTGCTTTCCATGTAACAGTGGGGCAGGAGGGGGTGTGGGGGTGTGTGGGTTCAAAAAGATACCCAAGCAGCACTCACCCCCTTATTGGCAGCAATGCAGCATTCAGCCAGCCGTAGCCAGAGGCGGGGATTTGCATGATAAACCTGAACAGCTTCAATCAGACACTCGAAGGCAGCAAGAGGCCTTCCAATGTGAAGAAGCTGAATTCCACAGTTATACAGCAACTCATACCTCTTGTTGGTTAGTAACGTACACATGGGTCTTCCTGAAAATTTTTTGCCTAATGATAAAAATTAGATGAGAATAAATCATTAGATTTAAAATGAGTTATACTGAAAACATTTATTCCACTAAGTACTTAAACACTACCTTGTTTAAGATCAATGACCCCAATTTAAAGTTGTAATAGCTCTCACCATGATGATCTCCATCCCCAACCCCACAAATATTCTCCAGGGTCATTTCAGCTGTCTGTGCTGACTGGGTCAGCAATGTCTCTTCTCATTTGCCAGCAACTCAGGCAAAAATGTTCCAGGAAGGCAAAGAAGAGACAGGACCCACTCTTACCCCTCTGAACCTTACACCATCTGTCCACATTTTTAGAGCCTGTAAAAAGATTCCACTCTTTTTCAGTTTCAGTTTGATTAACCATTTTATCATCATGTGCTTTCTTAACCAGAAGTATTCAGTTAATGTTAGGGTGTTACGGACTTTATTGTGGAAATAAAAATGAATGTACTATATACCTACAATGACTATGCTCCACTTACTCACTTATTCAAAGTTTCACAGTCCATAATAAAATAAGACTACTTGTGATTTTGGATACATTTTTCATCAATTAAATAGTTTTTTTATATTTTAAAAAGCTAAATAATTTCTTGATTTTAAGTATTTCAGATTAAGGATCCATATACCATGAATATTAAATGAATAAACTTAAGGAATTTGCTTAAAAATTATCAGGTGGGGGCCGGCCCGGTGGCGCAAGCGGTTAAGTGCGCGCACTCCGCTGCGGCGGCCCGGGGTTCGCTGGTTCGGATCCCGGGCGCGCACCGACGCACTGCTTGGCAAGCCATGCTGTGGCGGCGTCCCATATAAAGTGGAGGAAGATGGGCACAGATGTTAGCCCAGGGCCGTCTTCCTCAGCAAAAAAAGAGGAGGATTGGCGGATGTTAGCACAGGGCTGATCTCCTCACAAAAAAACAAAACAAAACAAAACAAAACAAAAAAAAATTATCAGGTGCTACTGACAGTACCGCATGTGAAACCCTGAAAAGCTATAACAAAACTAGTTTGGGGGCTGGTCCAGTGGCCGGTTAAGTTCAGTGCACTTTGCTTTGGCAGCCCCAGTTTGGTTCCTGGGCGCAGACCTACACCACTGGTCAGCCATTCTGTGTGGTGACCCACATACAAAATAGAGGAAGACTAGCCACAGATGTTAGCTCAGGGCGAATCTTCCTCAGGAAAAAAAAACAAACAAAAAAAAAACTAGTTTGGTAGTCAAGAAATCTTAACAAAATGTTCTGCTTTATAGCATTACCATATGGGATTACCAATTTTCAGATCCACAAAAAAGTGAATGTAATTTAAATTTGATAATTACTCCTAACACCTTGCTATTCAAAATAGCAATATCTACTAAAAATCCCCCGAGTCAGACTTGGTGGGCAGGATCAGTGTCAACTGTATGCAGGTACACGTGGCATTTTGACCAGGTGCCTGCTCTATGAAATCACGCTTTCCTCAAGTCGTAAAACACAAACTGTCCCCCAGTAATGGGCTTACCCGGATCAGTGCTGCCTGCACTGAGCTGTGCACAGACATTGTCATTCTCCTGCAGAGCCTTTTTAAAGTAGAAAATTCCCAAATTGTGCTTGCTCATGGCAAAATGAATACAACCAAGATTATTCCAGAACATGCATCGCAAGCATTCACCTGAGAAAACACACAAATAAATTTGTCCACAGACAAATTTTAATGTTGATGTACATCATACAAGAATCAAGCTTGTCTAGCATGAGTTAATTCTATATGCAATTCCACTTAGTCCCTATGGAACAGTTTATAAGGCATTAAAAATTCAGGAAATATCTGAAAATTTTGCAAATTCCTTTTTTTTAACAATCTCTTTTGTTAAAGTTGATAAGTCAACACCGCATATTGATTTTGTTAGCCTGTTTAGTTTTTTTCTGATTTAATTTTTAATAATTGTAGGCAAATGATACAAAAATGACAAAGACAAAATACATTTATTTGTAACATAATATATACGTATTGTATCCACACAACGAAATACTATGTAGAAACTGGAAAGAACGAAACAAGTATATATGGAAACAGTCGCAATATATTAAATGAAGAATAGCAAGAATATAGAAAATAGAATACATAAAATCCCACTTTTGTTTGTTAAACTATAAGTCTCCACTGTTCTTTTAGTTCACATGTATTTAAATATCACAGTGGGTGAACATCTATCTTCTCATGTTTGTTGGGCATTTGTATTTCTTATCCTGCACACTGCCTCTTCCTGTTCTTTACCTATTATTTATTTGGTTACAGATGTTTTTCCTATTGGTTACCTGTTAGTGTATCTGTTATAGAAACTTTCTGTCACATCTGTTTAAAATATTTCCCCCATTGCCAGTTTGTCATCTATCTTGTGACCTAGTCCTGTGTGTGTGTGTGTGTGTGTGTGTGTGTGTGTGTATGTTTTTAATCATAAAAAGTTTTACATTTTTATGTGGTCAAATTTAGTAATTTCTAAGCTCTATGGTTCTTAAATTTTGTATGATGTCTAATCAAGATTTCCCTACCACAAAACTAAAATGCTCACCCAAATTTTCTTTTCTGCTTTTATGATTTTATTTTTACCTTTTCATCCTTCATCTTTCTGGATTTTATTTTGGTATAATGAAAGCAATCCAAGCTTTAGTTTTCTTTTTCTAAATGGCTTCCCAAACATTCCAAAACAATTTATTGATAGTTCATCTTTTCCTCAATGATACAAAATGCCCGACTAGATTGACAAAATTAATAATCAGAATATTCATTGCTTAATACTAAAAACCAAAGGTTGGCTTCTGATATATTTTAAAATTAAGCACTGATAATACTTAAACCAGAGAAAAACTGGGGCTGGCCCAGTGGCTCAGTGGTTAAGTTCACACGTTCTGCTTCGGTGGCCTGGGGTTCACTGGTTTGGACACTGGGCGCAGACCTACTCACCGCTCATTGAGCCATGCTGAGGCGACATCCCATATAGAAGAGCTAAAACTCTACAACTATGATACCCAACTATGTACTGGAGCTTTGGGGATAAAAAAAGAAAAAAGAGGAAGATTGGCAACAGATGTTAGTGCAGGGCCAACGGTCCTCAAAAATAAATAAAAAATAAAAAATAAAAATAAAAAAGAGAAAAACTATGCTTAGGATAAAAACTAATAGGAAATACACCAAAATGTTCAAAGGAGATTGCTTCTGGGTACTGGCATTGTGAACAATTAAGAAAAATTCTTTTTTTTAAATTTTATTTATTTTTTTCCCCAAAGCCCCAGTAGATAGTTGTATGTCATAGTTGCATATCCTTCTAGTTGCTGTATGTGGGACGCAGCCTCAGCATGGTCGGAGAAGTGGTTCGTCAGTGCACGCTCGGGATCCGAACCCGGGCCGCCAGCAGCGGAGCGCGAGCACTTAACCGCTAAGCCACGGGGCCGGCCCTTAAGAAAAATTCTATTCCCAAATCTTCTCTAATAAGCATATTTTATCAGCAGCAAAAACTAAATTATATATGGAAAGCAAATTAAAGATTATAAAATTAAATAACTATGAAAAACACCAATATATAAAATATAACTATATAAAAATCTTTCCTATTAAATTATCATAACTGTTGACTAGTCAACTATACGACCTGCTCCTGACTCCATTTTAGAGACTGACAAGATCAAGTTTGAAATCTGCGTGAAGGCAATCCTAAGCAAAATTTTCTCAAAGCACGTTATTTCTTTAGTCTGAGAGATCATTTCAGCGTTTGGGTGTTAGTGGGCCTCTGAGGGGAAACTATGACAATAAAAACATCAGAAATAAAAATTTAGCAGAATTAAAAATGGCTACTCAGAACAAACAGAATATCCAAGAGAACCATCCTCTGCGACTCCACTGAACTGAAAGGGTAAATGGGGGAAACTTTGAGGATGTTTGCATGTGTGTTCCGTGTATGTACCTGAATAGAATCTAAAACAAAATGAATTTGAAAACTTATTCATCTTTTGCATTTTAATCCTGATGCAAAACACTTGCAATAGTTTAACCTTATTTCTTGAATAAACTGATTTTCCTCCTTCCTCCCTATAAAACAGCAATGGTGGGAACTTAACTGACAGCTGCATATTTTGCCTTTCATTTTACCACTAATATCAAGCAATTCGTTTAAACTTTCTAACTAGAGGCAAGAATAGATAACAGTAGTTATGTTCCTAACTTTACAGAAATATTTTTGAACTAGTTAATGGTCTAAAGAATCATCATATTATTCACTGCTTTTATGGGAGAAAAGGGAAATGAAAGAACATTATCATCTCATTTCCTCAAAAGATCTCACGTCAAAAAGCAAAAGCCCAAGGACCTTACGCCCAGGATATACCTTCCAAGCTGGTATTAAAAAACCATTAGGAGTGACGTGACCATCATGGCAGACTGAGTTGTTCCCTCTGTCTCTCCCCTCCAAGTTACAACTAAACAGACATTCATTATCCAACAGAGAATTCCCTACACAGCACAAGAGGACACCTGAGAGATGCAGGAAGCCATACATCTGAAGGTGGGTGGACTGGATCCCCTGGAAGCAGTGGAACTAGGTGAGCCCACCCTTCTCCCTGACCCCCACCATCGGCAGTGATCTAGGTCTCAGATCCTCACACAGTGGCCAAGCACGACTGTAAGTGGAAGCAGGGGCAGTCCGGCCCATGGGAACACTCCCCACCAAGTGGGGGCAGCTCTGCCCCTGCATAGGCATCCCTCTCGCCTAGTGCTGCAGCTCAGCTGAACCACCCCAAGCGTGAGCACAGCGCCAGCCTATGTGAGTGACCTGGCTGCCAAGCGCAGAGGCCCTGCCCATGTGAGTGCAACTTGCCAAGTGGCTGCGGCCAGCCCGTGCAAACACAGAGTGGCCCTGCTGGCACAACTACAGCAGATGGGGAGGGATCAGAAAACACAGCTCCTGGGGTTGGCCCAGTGGCATAGTGGTTAAGTTCGCGTGTTCCACTTTGGCAGCCCAGGGTTTGCCAGTTCGGATCCTGGGTGCAGACCTACTCACCGCTCATCAAGCCATGCTGAGGCGGTGTCCCATATAGAAGAGCTACAACTCTACAACTATGATACACAACTATGTACTGGGGCTTTGGGAAGAAAAAAGAAAAAAAGAGGAATACTGGCAACAGATGCTAGCACAGGGCCAATCTTTCTCAAAAACAAAAAGATGTTCTTTGCAAAAAAAAAAAAAAAAAAAAAAAAAAAAAAAAGAAAACACAGCTCCTGCCCCCCCGACCAGTGGTGGCAGGCGGAATCTACGACCTGATACTACCACAAATGTGCTGGCAAAGAATCAATACATCAAACACTGTGACGAACTACAGTAACACTTCAGACCAGAAGCAAAATGACAACTCTCCAGAAACCAATCCTGAAGTCACTGAAGTTTACAATCTAAATGACAGAGAATTCAAAACAGTTGCCATAAAGAAACTCAATGAGTAACAAAAAAAGTCAGAAAGACAGTTCAATGAGCTCAGGAATAAAATTAATAAGCAGAAGGAATACTTCACCAAAGAGACTGAAGCTCTGAAAAAAACCCAACAGAATTTCTGGTTATGAAGAACACTATTAATTAGATAAAAAATAATCTAGAAATCATAAAAAAAAAAAAGAGCTGATGTTGTGGAGCACAGAATCAGTGACTTAAGGATAGACATACAAACAAGCTTCAGGTGGAGAGAAAGAGAGAACTAAGATTTTAAGAAAATGAAGAAACTCTTTGAGAAATATCCAACTCGATTAGGAAAAGTAACATAAGGATTACAGGTATTCCAGAGGGAGAATAGAGGGAGAAAGGACCAGGTAGCTTGTTCAGAGAAATAATAGCTGAGAACTTCCCAAACCTGGGGAAAGAACTGGACTTACAAGTACATGAAGCCAACAGAACTCCTAATTACATCAATGCAAAACGACCTTCTCCAAAGCATATAATATTAAAATTAGCAAAAGTCAATGACAAAGAAAAAATATTAAGGGCAGCAAGGCAGAAGAAAATAACCTGCAAAGGAACCCCCATCAGGCTTTCAGTGGATTTCTCAGCAGAAACCTTACAGGCTAGGAGAGAATGGAATGATATATTCAAAATACTGAAAGACAAAAACTTTCAGCCAAGAATACTCTATCCAGTGACACTATCCTTCAGATACAATGGAGAAATAAAAGCTTTCCCAGATAAACAAAAGCTGAGGGAGTTCATTGCTACTAGACCTCCACTATAGGAAATGATGAATGAAGCCCTCTTACCTGAAACGAAAAGGCAAAAGTTTACAAAACTTTGCACAAGGAGATAAACAGACAAAAGCAGGAAATCGCAGCTCTCTATCAGAACAAGTTAGCAAACACTTAATTATAACATAAAGGATAAAGGGAAGGAAAGCATCAAAAAGAACTATAAGCACTTCAATTTAGTCACAAACTTACAACACAAAAAAGAATAATTTGTGAAAACAATAACTCAGAAGGGGAAGAGGAAAGGGGTGGGACCTGCTTAGGCGAATGGACTATCTCATCTATGAGATCTTTTATACAAACCTCATGGTAACCACTAAACAAAAAATAAGAGCAGAGCCACAAACCCTAAACAAAGAGAAAACTGAGAAAACCATCACAAAAAACCACTAACTGAAATGGCAGTCAGAAATACAAGGGAAAAGAAACAATGGAAATATAGAACACCTGGAAAACGAGAGATAAAACGGCAGTATTAAGCCCTCATATATCAATAATCACTCTGAACATAATTGGATTGAATTCTCCACTCAAAAGACAAAGAGTGGTAGGAAGGATTAAAAAACAAGACCCAACAATATGCTGTCTCCAGGAAACACATCTCAGCTCTAAAGACAAACATAGGCCCAGAGTGAAGGGATGGAAGATGATACTCTAAGCAAACGGCAAGCAAAAGAAAGCAGGTGTTGCCACACTTAAATCACACAAAGCAGACTTCAAGATAAAAAAGACAACGTGAGACAAAGAGGGGCAGTATATAATGAGAAAAGGGACATTCCACCAAGAGGACATAACACTTATGAATATATGCATCTAACACAGGAGCACCAAAGTATATAAAGCAACTACTAACAAACTTAAATGGAGAAATTGACAGCAACACAATAATAGTAGGAGACCTCAACACCCCATTTACATCAATGGATAGCTCATCTAGACAGAAAGTCAACAAGGAAACAGTGGCCTTAAAGGAAACACTAGACCAGATGGACTTTAATAGATATATATAGAACATTATCTCAAAACAGCAGAATACACATTCTTCTTGAGTGCACACGGAACATTCTCAAGGACAGACCATATGTTGGGAAACAAGGCAAGCCTCAATAAATTTAAGAAGACTGAAATATCAAACATCTCCCCGCCCCCGAGGAAGATCAGCCCTGAGCTAACATCCATGCTAATCCTCCTCTTTTTGCTGAGGAAGACCAGCTCTGAGCTAACATCTATTGCCAGTCCTCCTCCTTTTTTTCCCCAAAGCCCCAGCAGATAGTTGTATGTCATAGTTGCACATCCTTCTAGTTGTTGTATGTGGGAGGCAGCCTCAGCATGGCCGGAGAAGTGGTGGTCAGTGCGCACCCGGGATCCGAACCCCAGCCGCCAGCAGCGGAGTGTGTGCACTTAACCACTAAGCCACGGGGCCAGCCCTCAAACATCTTTTCCAATCAAAATACTATGAAACTAGAAATAAACTACAAGAAAAAAGCTGGGAAAGGCACAAATGTGTGGAGATTAAACAGCATGCTACTGAACAACCACTGGTTCAATGAAGAAATCAAAGGAGAAATCAAAAAATACCTGGAGACAAATGAAAATGAAAACACAACATACCAACACTTACAGGATGCAGCAAAAGTGGTGCTAAGAGGGAAATTTATAACAATACAGGCCTACCTCAACAAACAAGAAAAATCTCAAATCAATAATCTTAAACTACATCTAACAGACTAGAATACGGAGAACAAAGTCAGCAGAAGGAGGGAAATAATAAAAATTACAGCAGAAATGAATGAAATAGAGACTAAAAACACAATGGAAAGGATCAATGAAACTAAGAGCTGGTTCTTTGAGAAGATAAACAAAATTGACAAAGTCTTAGCCAGACTCACTAAGAAAAACAGAGAGAAGGTGCAAATAAATAAAATTAAAAATGGAAGAAAAATTACAACAGATACCATAGAAACACAAAGGAGTATAAGAGAATACTATGAAAAACTATATGGCAACAAATTGGATAAACTAGAAGGAATGGATAAATTGTTAGACTCATACAACCTCCCAAAACAGAATCAAGAAGAAACAGAGAATCTGAATAGACCAATCACAAGTAAAAAGATAGAAAGAGCAATCAAAATGCTCCCAAAAAACAAAAGTCCAGGACCAGATGGCTTCTCTGGAGAATTCTATCGAATATTCAAAGAAGAGTTAATACCTATCCTTCTCAAACTATTCCAAAAAATTGAAGAAGATGAACACTTCCTAACTCATTTTATGACGCCAACACCACCCTGATCCAAAAGCTAGACAAGGACAACACAGAAAAGGAAAATTACAGGCCAATATCGCTGATGAACATGGATACAAAAATCCTCAACAAAATATTGGAAAAACGAATACAGCAATACATTAAAAAGATCATACACCATGATCTAGTGGGATTTATACTAGGGACACAGGGATGGTTCAACACCCGCAAATCAATCAATGTGATACACCACATTAACAAAATGAGGAATAAAAACCACATGATCATCTCAATAGATGCTGAGAAAGTATCTGACAAAATCCAACATCCATTTACGATAAATACTCTCAATAAAATGGGTATAGAAGGAAAGCACCTCAACATAATAAAGGCCATATATGACAAAGCCACAGCCAACATCACACTCAACGGGGAAAACCTGAAATCCATACCTCTGAGAACAGGAACAAAGACAAGGGTACCCACTCTTGCCACTCTTACTCAACATAGTAATGGAGGTTTGGGCCAGAGCAATTAGGCAAGAGAAAGAAATAAAAGGTACCCAAATTGGCAAGGAAGAAGTGAAACTCTTGCTGTTTGCAGATGACACGATTTTATATATAGAAAACCCTAAAGAATCCATTGGAAAACTATTAGAAATAATCAACAACTAAAGCAAAGTTGCAGTGTACAAAATCAACTTAGAAAAATCAGTTGCATTTCTATACTTTAATAACAAACTAACAGAAAGAGAACTCAAGACTACAATGCTATTTATAACCTCAACAAAAAGAATAAAATATCTAGGAATAAATTTAACCAAGGTGGTGAAAGACCTATACAATGAAAACTATACGACATTATTGAAAGAAATCGATGATGACATAAAGAAATGGAAAGATATGCCATGCACATGGACTGGAAGAATAAACATAGTTAAAATGTCCATACCACCTAAAGCAATCTACAGATTCAATGCAATCCCAATCAGAATCCCAATGACACTTTTCATGGAAATAGAACAAAGAATCCTAAAATTTATATGGAACGACAAAAGGCCTCGAATAGCCAAAGCAATCCTGAGAAAAAAGAACAAAGCTGGAGGCATCACAGTCCCTGACTCCAAAATATACCACAAAGCTACAGTAATCAAAACAGCATGGTACTGGTACAAAAACAGACACACAGATCAATGGAACAGAATTGAAAGCCCAGAAACAAAACCACGGAAAACCACACATATATGGACAGCTAATCTTCAACAAAGGAGCTAAGAACATACAATGGAGAAAGGACAGTCTCTTCAATAAATGGTGTTGAGAAAACTGGACAGCCACATGCAAAGAATGAAAGTAGACCATTATCTTTTGCCATCCACAAAATTTACCACAAAATGGATTAAAGACTTGAAGGTAAGATATTAAACCATAAAACTCCTAGAAGAAAATATAGGCAGTACATTCTTCGACATCAGTCTTAGAAGGATCTTTTCGAATACCATATCTACTCGGGCAAAGAAACAAAAGAAAAAATAAATAGGACTTCATCAGACTAAAGAGCTTCTGCAAGGCAAAGGAACAAAACAAAAAGACAACACACCAACTGGGAGAAAATATTTGCAAATCATAAATCCGACAAGGGGTTAATCTCCAAAATATATAAAGAACTCATACTACTCAACAACAAAAAAACAAACAACCCGATCAAAAAATGGGCAGAGGATATGAACAGACATTTTTCCAAAGAAGATATACAGATGGCCAACAGGCACATGAAATGATGCTCAACATCACTAATTATTAGGGAAATGCAAATCAAAACTACAATGAGATATCACCTTACATTTGTCAGAATGGCTATAATTAACAAGATGAAAAATAACAAATGTTGGAGAGGTTGTGGAGAAAAGGGAACCCTCATACACTGCTGGTGGGAATGCAAACTGGTGCAGCCACTACAGAAAACAGTATGGAGATTTCTCAAAAAAATTACCAATAGGGGCCGGCCCATGGTTAAGTGGTTAAGTGCGTGCGCTCCGCTACTGGTGGCCCGGGTTCAGATCCCGGGCGCGCACTGACGCACTGCTTCTCCGGCCATGCTGAGGCCGCGTCCCACATACAGCAACTAGAAGGATGTGCAACTATGACATACAACTATCTACTGGGGCTTTGGGGAGAAAAAAGGAGGAGGATTGGCAATAGATGTTAGCTCAGAGCTGGTCTTCCTCAGCAAAAAGAGGAGGATTAGCATGGATGTTAGCTCAGGGCTGATCTTCCTCACAAAAAAACAAAAAAATTAACAATAGAAATACCATATGATCCAGCTATCCCTCTACTGGATATTTATCTAAAGAACATGAAATTAACAATACAAAGAGATGTACGCACTCCTATGTTCACTGCAGCATTATTCACAATAGCCAAGATGTAGAAGCAACCCAGGTGCCAATCAACTGATGAATGGATAAAGAAGGTGTGGTATACATACAATAGAATACTACTCAGCCATAAAAAAAGACAAAATCCTCCCATTTGCAACAACATGGATGGACCTTGAGGGTATTATGTTAAGTGAAATAAGCCATACAGAGAAAGACAAACACCATATGCTTTCACTCATATGTGGAAATAAACACATGGCTAAGGAGAAGAGATTAATGGTTACCAGATGGGAAAGGGGTGGGAGGTGAGCAAAAGGGGTAAAGGGGCACAAAGGTATGCGGACGGATAAAAACTAGACTATTGGTGGTGCACATGATGTAGTCTATACAGAAAGTGACATATAATAATGTACACCTGAAATTACACAATGTTATAAACCAATATGACTTCAATAAAATAATTTTTGAAAAAAGAAAGAAAGACTAAGAGAGGTGAAAGAGAAGTAAAAGAAGTGAGCCGCCTTCTAAAACGGAAACAAGTAATAAAACTCCAGGAATTTTCTGCAGCAGAAATAACAAAACATTTTCACTAAAAACTAGCAAAAATCACTCTGAAGAGCAGTCTAGGGAAAAAAACAAGCAACAAGGGGTATAAGAGCCAGGAAGAAAATACTAAAATTTCACAATTTTCTTTTACCTGTTTTCATGAATCCTGGATGCTCAGCAATGTTTGAACTATTTAATAGCTTCACAGCTTTTCGATAATTGCCTCTTAAGTACTCAAAATTGCTTTTAAGAAACAGAGATGGTGCAGACTGTAAAGAAAATATAAGTTACTATAATTTGTTTTGAGATGTCTAATGCAAGATCATAATCATACTGTTGCACTGACGTGTTCAAGAGCATAAATGAATCACTTAAGTCATGGTGACAAAAAACTATAGTCTCTAAATTTTTCATTGCTCTCACAATCTAAAAAAAATGAAACTTGTCATAGAACATCCTGTAAATTGACTTACTAAGGGTCTACCTAAAAAAGTACACACAACATATATGTAGAAGAAAACAGCAGAGTTATCAACTGACTGCCTTTATCAACTACACTACTAACTGGAAACCATATTAGCAGCACAAACCAGGCCCTTCATTTTAACGGTTATTAGAAAGACTGGTGATCTCCAGTCTTTTTAGGATACAAATGCACCTTCATTAGAACCCAAAAAGGTTCTAATGCTTTTCCAAGTAGGAAAAAATAATCCAAATAATCAAATGCTTTTCCAAGTAGGGAAAAAAAAGTGTCATTCTACAAATGGAAAAATTTCCTAACAGAATGCCTTATTTTCGAGTGCTGATGTTGTTACAAAGATCACGTTTTAGATTACAGAACATGCCTCGCTTCTAAGAATCTTCGTGGTGGAGGGTCACCTATACAGCACCTACTTAGAATGCAAAAGCATGCAGAGCTCTGGAGGCTGAACATCCATCCAGGAGGATGTCTGGAATCCTTGTCTCGTTATTTACTCACTTCAGCTTAGCTACAGGTTTTCCTTTTAAACCCTCATTTATGCTTTGCTCTGCCTCCTGGTCACTAAGGAAACAAGAGCTTTCAAGGCTTATTCCAGGCAGCACTTCCTCCTGAAGTTTTTCCTGATTTAGGTATGACCATTACACTGCATTACAATTATTTATTTTTCTGTTTGCCTTTCCCCTACAACTATGGCATCCTTTAAGGCAGGGATCATGTCTTTTACTTCAAAAAAAAGTTTGATCATGGCTAGCTGGCTAGTTAGGCCTTTCCCTCTTAGCCTCAAGTCTACCCTTTCAGGTTTAGGCTATAATTGTTCTCCTCAAAAATCACTTGAGGGGCTGGCTCATGGCGTAGTGGTTAAGTTTGCATGCTCCGCTCCGCTCCAGTGGCCCAGGGTTCATGGGTTTGGATCCCGGGCGTGGAACTACACACTGCTCATCAAGCCATGCTGTGGTGGCGTCCCAAATACAAAAAATAGAGGAAGACTGGCACAGATGTTAGCTCAGAGACAATCTTCCTCAAACAAAAAAAAAGAGGAATATTGGTAACAGATGTTAGCTCAGGGCTAATCTTCCTCACCAAAAACAAACAAAAAAATCACTTGAGTACTGACCCAGTGGCTAACCTGGATCCTGTCTGAGATTTCTAGGTCCAATTTTCCTGAACAATTCCTACTACAAACCATATCTCCTTATGATTTCATACTTGTAATTAATAGTTTTCCTTAAAAAAAAAAAATAGTTTTCCTAAAAGCATCAAGAATGTTCACAATTCTGTCTCTTCCCTCTATGGTTTTAAAAATTATTTATCAGTGGAGGGAGTGGAAGAGAAGAGTAACTATATCTCAAATACTCTAGCACTAGTCAAACTGAAGGTACGTACTGTCAAGCCAAAGATCATTTAGAAGGGGCAGATTTGGGCTACAATTGGACTCAATCTTTTTTTTTTTTTTTGGTGATGAGGAAGATTGGCCCTGACCTAACATCTGTGCCAATTTGCCTCTTTTTTGCTGAGGAAGATTGGCTCTGAGCTAACATCTGTGCCCATCTTCCTCTATCTTGTATGTGGGACAGCGCCACAGCACAGCTTGACGAGCGGTGTGTCGGTCCACGCTGGGGATTCAAACCTGTGAACCCCGGGCCACTGAAGTGGAGCACGTGAACTTAACCCCTATGCCACTGGGCCGGCCCCTGGATTGTTAAATCTTTTTTTTTTTTTTTTTTGGTGAGGAAGATCTGCCCTGAGCTAACATCTGCCAATCCTTTTTTTTTTTTTTTTTTTGGTGAGGAAGATCTGCCCTGAGCTAACATCTGCCAATCCTCCTCTTTTTGCTGAGGAAGACTGGCCCTGGGCTAACATCCACGTCCATCTTCCTTCACTTTATATGGAAAGCCGCCACACCATGGCTTGACAAGCAGTGCGTTGGCGCACGCCTGGGATCCGAACCGGCAAACCCCGGGCCGCCGCAGCGGAGCGTGCGCACTTAACTGCTTGTGCCACCGGGCTGGCCCCTGGACTGTTAATCTTTTTTTATAAACTTTTTTTTTTCCCCCAAAGCCCCAGAAGATAGTTGTATGTCATAGTTGTGCAGCCTTCTAGTTGCTGTATGTGGGACGCGGCCTCAGCATGGCCGGAGTAGTGGTATGTCGGTGTGCGCCCGGGATCCGAACCCGGGCCGCCAGCAGCAGAGCGCGCACACTTAACTGCTAAGCCACGGGGCCGGTCCTGGACTGTTAATCTTTAATAAACGTTTTGAGTATAATCTAAAAAACTCTTAAAGTGTCTAATAACAGCAAATGTTTAAATGAATTGTGATAATCACTCACAGAATACTAGACAACTATTTAAAATGTTGGTTTTGAATGCAACATACCAAGGAGAAATGCTTGTTATAATTTTAAGTGAGAAAAGTACGATATTAATATTAAATTGTAGAGACCATATGATCACTACTTCAGAACTCAATATCAAGGTTTGTATCTGGTAGTATATATACACTGTAACAGACTAAGATAAATCATTTAAAACTGACAAATACCTATTGTCCAAATAAGAAAGTTTTAGGACATAAAAGCCACAAATTGAAAAAAAAGAGAAATGTCAGGAAGAAACTTACATTTCCAGCTGTGTTCATGACTGATTTGATTTCCCTTTTGCATGCTTTCAGGGACTTCATTTGGATATAAGCTCTTACTTTATACTGTCAAAGGAAAAATGTCAGTATGTGTGAGAACTATCGTGGATTTACACATACTAAAGTAGTTTTACTTTCTAGTTAAGGAAATTAAACCCAATCTGTTTACAAGATAGTTATACCAATTACTTGAAAAAGCAAGTTTAAAATTATCTTAAATAATGTATTTTTACTATACTCTTGGAATATACTCTAAAAAACTAAAAACACACTAGAATAAAACTTATACTTAAGTTCCAAGTAAAAGTCCTATCAATTCTTATCTGTACATGGCTAAGTAACGATGAACTTTAAAATTCTACAAACTGATTTTATCATCCAATACATTCCCAGGCCATTTCTCTCAATCTTCTATAGAGTGATTAAAAGAAATGACACTACATTACCATCTTAAGCACCATATATTTAGAAGGATAAATGTGCTTCCAAACTATAAAACTTCAAAGCCAAATAAACATACATGCCTTGAACTGTTTCCTGCTTTCAATGATCTATCACATTCTTCATCATTCGTAACTACAATCAAACACATGTGACGTATAACCTCTCAAAATTTACGCTACCTGATGTATCTTTGATTTTGCAGCTTCTATTAGAGCTCCACTTTCAGCTTTATGATTAGCTCCGTCTTTGTTGGTGTTATTACCAGTCTGTAGGGTGATGAAACAAAGTTAACCCAAATTAAATTTTTTTCCATAATTTAAATCAGTGATTTCCGAGTGAGCTAACCTGAATCACCTAGAGAGCATTTTCGAAATTCAGAATCCCAGGTCCCACTCCCAGAGATTCAGGTTTAGTAGTCTGTACTGGGTGACAGGAAGCTCTACTTATGAGACCCTCACAGTTCAGCATAATGATAGACCAGGTTTAAAAAGCATGGATATTACTTTGGCAAAATTCAAATGATCTTTCTAAAACCCAGAACAGATCAAGTCATTCTCTCCTTAATAAGTTTCTCTGGCATCAACACTGCCAACATCATACTTTAAATTCCTAGTCAAGTATTCAAAATCCTTCACAATATGACCCATATTTGAGTGGCCAATCTCATCTCCTGCTGATCCCCATTACATTTCTGGGGTACTACTCCTTTCAGATCGCCAGAAAGTCCTCCATCACGCCACTCTCAAACCTTTTGTGCTGTTTTCTCTGCCAGGATGGTTATCCTGCTCCATTCTTCCTCTTCTGACTTGTCAAACTATTATATCTTTCAAGGCCCAAATCAAACAGCCGAATTTCTCTGAAACATTCCCTAACCTCCTTCCTTCCAGTCCATTAACAGATGTTGCTCAATCTTTCTCCTCCCAGACTTGAGTTCCTTAAAAAGCAAGAACTGCAATGTTTTCATTTTTTGTCACCTTAGGACCTAGCAGACCACAAACGCATCAGTTTAACTGAGTTATATTTCAACTATTACAAGTACTGAATATAAAAATGAAATATTTTACTGGACAGTGTTTAGAAATAATGCTAAGATTACTTAACTGAACTCTTATATATACATACTTGTTAAATTGAAAAAAGTAACACTAGCTGTTTATTTTTTTTAATTTTTATTTTTGTGAGGAAGATTGGCCCTGAGCTAACATCCATGCCAATCTTCCTCTTTTTGCTGAGGCAGACTGGCCCTGGGCTAACATCCATGCCCATCTTCCTCCACTTTATATGGGACTCCGCCACAGCATGGCCTGACGAGCGGTGCATCGGTGTGCGCTCAGGATCTGAACCCAGGCTGCCAGCAGTGGAGCGAGCGCACTTAACTGCTACGCCACAGGGCCGGCCCTAGCTGTTTATTTTTAACCTCCAGAATTTATACGGGTAGAAAGAAAGGTACTGATAATCTGTTTTCTGCAAATACCCCTTTTTTAACAAAAGGGCAGAAACAGGAAGAAAGAACCATCCCTTGACAACCAGAGCACAAGCAAAATGAAAAACATGAAAAACATGATAACTAAGATATATTCTTTTTTTTTTTTTTTTTTTTTGAGGAAGATTGTCCCTGAGCTAACATCTGTGCCAATCTTCCTCTACTTTGTGTATGGGATGCCGCCACAGCATGGCTTGATGAGTACTGTGTAGGTCCGCGCCTGGGATCCAACCCTGTGAACCCTGGGCTGCTGAAGCAGAGTGTGCAAACAACCACTACGCCACCCGGCCAGCCCCTAAGATGTATTCTTTTTGTGTGTGTGTGAGGAAAGTTAGCCCTGAGCTAACATCTGTTGCCAATCCTCCTCTTTTTTTGCTGAGGAAGACTGGCCCTGAGCTAACATCTGTGCCCATCTTCCTCTATTTTATGTGGGACGCCTGCCACAGCACAGCTTGATAAGTGATGCGTAGATCCGCGCCCGGGATTCAAACCTGCGAACCCTGGGCCGCAAAAGCAGAGCGTATGACCTCAACCACTACGTCATCAAGCCAGCTCCCCTAAGATGTACTCTTAATGTGCGCCACCTCTCTTATTAGAACATGGTGAAGTTTAATCATCATAAATGTGCGCTGTTTTTGAAGAATTTCTAATTTTTACATTCTGTAAAACCAATATCTCACACGTGAAAAGATGCTAACATACATCCTTAGCCATTAGGGAACTCAAAACCATTATGAGATACCACTTCACACCCATTAGGATGGTTACAATTTAAAAAGACAGATACAGATAATAACAAGGGTTGGGAAGAATGTGGAGAAACTGGAACCCTTATAAGTTGCTGGCAGGAATGTAAAATAGTGTAGCTACTCTGGAAAACAGTCTGGTAGTTCCTCCTAAGGTTAAACATAGAGTTACCATATGATCCAGCAACTCCACTCTTAAATGTATACCCAGGAGAATTGAAAAGATATGCCCCACAAAAACTTGTACATAAATGTTCATAGAAGCATTATTTATAATAGCAAAAGTGGAAAACAACCCAAATGCCTATCAACTGATAAATGAATAAGAAAATGTGGCATATCCATAAAATGGAATATTATTTGGCCATAAAAAGGAATGAAATACATGAAAAAGGAATGTACATGCTACAACATGGTAAACTTTGAAAATATTATGCTAAGTGAAGAGGCCAATCACAAAGGCCACATATGGTATGATTCCATTTTTACGAAATGTCCACAATAGGCAAATCCACAAAGACAGAAAGTAGATTAGTGGTTGCCAGGGGCTGAGGGAAGGGGGGAAAAGGGAATGACTGCTAATGTGTATAGGGTTTCTTTCTGGGGTGATAAAAATGTTCTGGAATTTAGATAGTGGTGATGGTTGTACAACTCCATGAGTATACTAAAACCCACTGAATTGTACACTTTAAAATGGTAAATTTTGTGTATGTGAATTATATTTCCTTTTTTTTACGTCATTAATCAAAATTTTAATACATCTGTCTCTCCCTAGCCTGTGGGCCACCTGAGGGTAGACATAATTCTTTTGATTTTTATTCATTTATTAAAAAATTTTTTTAATTGAAGTATAATTGACATATATTAGTTTCATATGTATAACATAATGATTCAATATTTGTCTATATTACAAAATGAATAAGTCTAGTTAACATCTGTCACCAAGCACAATTACAAAAATTTTTTTTTCTTATGATGAGGACTTTGAAGATCTACTCTTAGTAACTTTCGAATATGCAACACAGTATTATTAACTATAGGTCTCTTAGCAACTTTCAAATATGCAATACAGTATTAACTATAGTCTCCATGCTGTATAGTGAATCATATTTCAAAAAGCTGTTAAAATATTTAATAACCACAAATACTAATACTTTAAATTTTAGTCTGATCACCTCAGAACACTCACCTCATTCTTTCCATTTTTGTTATTGTTACCCTGTGAAATCATTTTTTCTAGGACAGCAAGAAGATGCAAAGCTTTCTCGGCTTGGTAGGTTAATATATATAGGTCTACAAGCAAAAAACACACTGCTTGGGCAAATTTTTCTTCTGGGGGAACAAAAACAGGAAAAGAAAAGTCACAACCCAAAGTGAAGCAAACATCTCAGACCATTTCCCACCAAAAAGCGCATAAGAGCAAAGCCTAAGTCTTTACTCAAATGAATTTTCATCGCCTAGAGCCATGAACAGAAGCAACCTGCAAGGCCAACAGTACCATTCTATTAGGCATCTCAAGGCCCCTCATTTCAGGGATTCTTGTGACTGAACCTCTTTTGGCAAAATATCTACCAAACACCAGCACATGAAATGAGGAGTATTACTGCAGGTAGAAGGAAACCTCAGTTCCAATACTTGCTTGGCTACTTACTAGATGTGTGGCCCCTGCACATCACTAAACTAATTTTTAGACCTCAGCTGGCTGATCTGTAAAATGGGGAGAATTCTTTACCTGCCAAAGGCAGAGGGGTGGACCAGGTGATCTCTTAAGGTTCCTTCTAACTCTAAAAAGGTCTTTGACTCTAGGAAATAGACTTCCTTTCTAGGCACAGAGATGGGAAAAAGAAACAATTTGATTACAAAGACAAAAGAAGCAAGGTATGGATTGGAGTATATGAGAAAATTGAAACAGCCAAGAAGAAAATATAAAGACAAAGCCTTTGAAGGAAGAAGAGCCCAACGAAGAGAGGAAGGGTAACCTGGTATAACACTATCTTCCTTTCCTTTCAAAAGAGAAAGTGAAAAGAAAAATAAGGTCTAAAACAAGACTGCTATAATCAAGAACAAAAAATTTCAAAAGCCCTTATGAGCCTCCTCACAAGTCTTCCTGTGTCCATTCTTGCTCTTACACAGCGGCCAGAGTAGAATCCATTTAAAACTAAAATCAGTGCAGTTGATGTGAAAAAGGTCCCAGATCCCCCAGGGCTTCCCACCGACACACCACACTTAACATTGTAAGTCCTTACCTCGGCGACAAGGCTTTACCTGTTCTGCCCCTTGCTACTTCTGACTTCATTTCCTACAGTTCTCCCCACCCAGCTCCAGTCACACTGGCCTTCCTGCTGTTCCTGTCACTCACCAAACTCAAGCTCACCTCAAGTCCTCAGCATGTACCATGACCTCAGGCTGAAATGCCTCCCCCCTAAAGAGTTCCACGGCTCACCTCTTCTCTTGTTTTTTTCTCTCCAAAGCCCCAGTGCATAGTTGTATATCATAGTTATAGGTCCTTCTAGTTCTTTTATGTGGGACGCCACCTCAGCATGGCTTGATAAGTGGTGAGTAGGTCCGCGCCCAGGATCTGAACCCACAAACCTTGGGCTGCTGAAGCAGAGTGCGCGAACTTAACCAATACGCCACTGGGCCAACCCCTCACCTCTTTTCATTCGGGTCTCTTTTCAAATACTGTCTTATCCCAGGCCTTCCTTGATTACTTTACCTAAAAGTAACATCCCCAGCCAATCTCTAGCCTCTTATCCAATTTTAGCTTTTCTTTACAGCATTTAACTACCCCACAATATATATTGTGTCGCTTTCTCATTAGAATATAAGCTTAATGAAGGTAAAGACTCTCTATTTCATTCACTGCGTTGTCTTCAGATCCCAGAACAGTGTCTGGTCCAAAGTATATGCTCAATAAATTTATGTGGTATAAAGAACAAAGTTGTAAAGCTAAAAAGAAAAAACAATAATAATTTTCAAAGAAGAAAAATGGATTTGAATACTGACTATATTCCTCTCAGCCACAGTACAGATTAACAGGATTTCATGAACTGTTCCAGAAATTCTAAAAACCAGCTTTATAGAAACATGTATCTATGCCATCCTAGAAATCTAATTCTGATTTCTAGCTTTACAGAAGAAAGAAACTGGTCACTAGTTACACAATTCCTCACCACTGATGTCTCTCCTGCCCATTCTGTCCAGCCACCATGCCCTCAGGATTGAGGGAAAGAGAAGCATCTTGAAAATGCTGCTCTGGAGCCACAGTAAACAGCTGTTCAACCAGTTGTCAGCAATAACTCTGTAACTCTTCCCAGAGCACCACAGAGGAGCCCCCACACTCCACACCTGTCCTGTGGTGACAACATCAGCAATCACGTGTTTCTAAATCAGGAATTTGCATTAGTGTTTTAAATTTAAAAGAAAGTAATCATAGAGAAAAAATAAAAAATGTGAATCACAATTGTAATCTGACTGCTTATGGGCTGGAAACCAACGGCCCTAACAACCTGTTCTGGGTCCAGCTTTGCTGCTCTCTTTGTTCCTGCCTTTTTTCTTTGCCCTTACCTTTCTTACTACTCTTACTTGAGGCTAGTTAATTGCAAGCTAGTTAAGATACCAAAGAAGCTAACATAGTTCTGTACTAGCTACCCTATGATGATCCACAAAAATTTCAGTTAGGCAATAGACAAAATAAAATACTATGCTGCCCCCTAACATTTCAAAACACTGCTTAATACACTACTCACGTTAAGAAAGGACCAGGTACACTAAAGTGGTGTTTAAACAGCAAGAAAAAATAAAAAATCAATAACTCTTTCCAATTAGAAACAGCATTTCTAACAGTTACCTTCAAAAACTGGGTGAGGGGAGATGCTAAAAAAAAAACCCTGGAGGGCCGGCCTGGTGGTGTAGTGATTAAGTGTGCACACTCCGCTTCGGCGGCCCAGGGTTCACAGGTTCAGATCCCAGGCACGAACCAATGCACCACTTGTCAAGCCATGCTGTGGCAGGCGTCCCATATAAAGTAGAGGAAGATGGGCACGGATGTTAGCCAAGGGCCAGTCTTCCTCAGCAAAAATAGGAGGACTGGCATCAGATGTTAGCTCAGGGCTAATCTCCTCACAACAAAAAAACCCGAAAAACAACAAAAAACCCTGGATTCATCTAAAAGTGATATAATTTTTATCTTTTCTAACCATTAAGAAAACCTGACACAGCTCTTTTTTCTTTCTTTAAATACTGACATGTAATTCTCTGATTTTGGTTATCTACATAAATGCACCAGAGACCTCTGCAAGTATGAGAAGATACGGAAATTTCTGACTTGACAGATAACATACCAAAAGGTTCTATGAACTGATAAAGTTTTTCACCAACTGATATTGCTTCTGTATACTGCCGCAGATGATAAAGGATGACGGCTTGATTGTAATACAACATGCTGTTTTCAACATCATCTAATCCATCCATTTCTTCAACAGCCGAGTGGACCTATAAAACAATCAACAGGGATTATGCTCTAACAACAGTAAGAAAAGAAAGAGCAAGTGAAAGAATCTATATGAATAAATACGAACACAGGCCAATATTTCTTACTCTGAATTTTTCCACATTTTCAACAAGACCTCTACATTTTAATTGCTCTCACATACTAAAAATTATTTCTTTCATAACAAAATTTTTTTAAGTAAAACATTTTGATGGAATTTCCTAGCACAAGAGAAGGAAGTTCTCTTCCTTGCCACTGTGAAGCTATCTTCAATGTTTTAACTGCTAACGTGGCTTCTAAGTTGGAGTCCCACTTTCTAGCCTCATGAGAAGTGGGCAAAACTCAAAATGATCCTTCCTACGAGAATGTTATGCAGTATGTAAACATAAGCTTGATTCCATTTTGTAAAAACTAAAGTAAAATTTAAACATTAACAAATAGCTAACTACTTAACTATGTGCCAGGCCTGCTACATTAAACCTTTTACGCAGAACATCTCATTTAATCCTCACCAGACCTCAAGGACATAGATAACATTATCATTTCCATTTTATAAATAAGGAAACAAGTACAAAAAGCTTAATTATCTTGCCCAAGGCCATATGGCTAAGAATTATACTTCCTGATTTTCCTATTATGTTCATAATAAAAAAAAAAATTTTTTTGTTCCAATAATAAAAAAAGAATAAATTTTTTAAACTAATGAACAACAAAAATACACTTTGTCATACATGGTGGTGAAAATAGGCTTTTAATGGCTTTACTAGAACCCTAACATCCACATCTGATACCAAAATAAAAAAAATCAGAACACTTCGCATTTTAAAGTTAATGATCATCTGTATACCCCTTCTGTAAGCTGTAGCAATAGGCTTTTAAATTTTAATCAAGTTTCACAACCATTCTACAATTCCATGTAACACAAGAAACTGGAATTCTACTTGTATTAAAACTTTCTTTGCCATTACCAAGATTGCAATAAATTATTGAGCAATGTTAAGTAATTAATTCTAAGAGTGACATTTCCCTAAATTAAGCAGTGGAACTTTGATATACATGGACTTAACACTCGTTTGGCTAATGGCAAGGAAACAGGAGGTTCATGACACATAGTGATTTGTAATCAGACTTCTAGAAACGTCAGTCACCTTTGCAGTGAGCTTGACAAGGGGGTTGAAATGTTAACAAGTGGTCCTAGCTGACCAACAGCACGGGCGCAGCTCAATGAGTCCGGGAGATCTCTATAATCTTCACTTATCAAGCCACTAAGTTCAAGTGATTAAAAATAGTCTCTTTAAATAGAGAAAACAATTTCCAAAGAAAGACAACACTTCTTGGTAGTTATGTAATGGAGAGAGAATGAGCTAAGAAGGGGTTCATTCTTAGCCAGAAAGGGGGTTTTGGATAAATTAAGGAGTTTTGGATTCAGCAATAGTTGAACTTATGACACCAATACTTGACCACATTTTTTGATTCACCAAAATAATCTAGTAATTGCTCCAGCCAGAACAAAAAACTACTCATTAAATGAGATAAAATGTTAATGAAAGCAGAATAGGTTCAAAAGGTGTGTCACTGTGCCCAGGACATGTGACTGAACAGAAGCATGATATAGAGAAAGCCAGGAGACACGAGCACAAACAATTCTAGGAAACTCAAAGAGCTGGAAGGCACCAGGGGGGTTACTGAATCAACTTTATTAAGAATAAAGGTTGGCGAAAGGATTTCAAAAAGCAGTTTTCTTGACTTAACAGGAAGTTTGCAAGAGCCTTTCACTCTAAAAAAAAAGTTTAAGAATGAACTTGTGCTCAAAGACCAAATAAACGTTCCCTGGAAGAAACTGTCTACGGGGTCATAGGGCACGTGTACTAAGTATCAGCAAACATCATCTTTCCTTTGATTCTGGAGCTCCAGATAAAGTCATGGCTAATAATACTAGAGTGATGATGAAATGGGATGACACATAAACTTACAAAGACTGAGGTAGTTTTGAGAACAGGCTCAAGAGTTAGAAGGTCTGGTTGGAATCCTGTCCCGCCCCCCACCCCCTTCCTAGCTGTATACATTAACATTATTAAGCTCCCCAAACCTCAGTTGTAAAACTGAAATAACAAGTTCAAGGGTTGAACGTGAGGATTATATGACAAGGCATAAAAAGCACTTAATATGGAATTTGGAATCAAGTAAGCATTTAATAAATGTTGGCTACTATTCTCACTTTTTTGAAGAATTTTAATACGATTGTAAAATTACTTTACTCCTATAAGGAATTATGAAGAGCCTGAAGAGGTTACTTATTTCTAACTATATCATGTTGAAGGTGATACTATATATAGTATCTTTACTCCCATAAAGAATTATGAGGTCCGGCCCTGTGGTGTAGTGGTGCCCTGCAGTATAGTGGTTAAGTTTATGTGCTCTGCTTCGGCAGCCCAGGGTTCTCAGGTTCAAATCCCAGGCATGGACTGATGCACCACTCAAGTCACGCTGTGGCAGGGTCCCACATACGAAAATGAAGGAAGGTGGCACAGATGTTAGCTCAAGGCCAATCTTCCTCAGCAAAAAGAGGAGGACTGGCAACAGATGTTAGCTCAGGGCCAATCTTCCTCACACACACACACAAAAAAATTATGACGTGCCTGAAGGGGTCACTTATTTCTAACTATGTCACACTTTAGGGTGATACTCTACGGTATAGTGGTATTCATGATTACAGGACAGGGGCCCAAAAATTTCTCAAGACCTTCCACAGCATGAAGCAGTAACTAAAAGCGCAGGCCCTAGAGTCCAAGAGAACTGGGTTCATGCAGCTCTTATCACTTAAAAGCTTTGTGTCTTTGGACAGTTTACATGAGCTATCTGTACCTCAGCTTTCCCATCTGTAAAATGAGAAAAATTACAGTAGCTACTTCATAGGGCTACCAGGAAGCCTAAGTGAGATGTATACTACAAGGAGAAGCAGGGCCTTGTTACACAGTCAGCACTAAATGTCTGCCAGCTGATCCCGTCATCATCATTAGCCCCCTTGAATATCAAAGGTCTAACTTTGTGATGCAAGAAATGTTGCTCTTATGACCAGACCAATGACTAAGGCAAGCCCCAAACCATGTATAAATCAGAATATCTTCTAAGTATTTATCTCCTGACCCAAAATGCTAAAATAATTTGATGTTATTAAAAATCAGATCTTTGCAGTTATAAATAAGATATATCTCAGCTGCTAAACTTCTTCATATATTTCTACTTTAATTTCTTCTCAAAACTCCAAAGCTCATTCAAATTTGGTATATTAAGCTATTCTGTTCAAGTTAAATACCCAAGAGAAAATTAAATCACACAACATACTTTTCATGTCCTAGAATAATTTTATACAAATAAAATTAATACCAACAAATGTTTCAGATATATTAGAAATTATGCTATATCAGACAAGAAGTCACATTAATTTTCCTTAACCATTTTTATTTCACAATTTAGACAATAACATAATATCACAATATTTTTGTAGTTAAATTTGTTTATGTATCACCTGATTCTTCAGCTGGTTAAGTGTTTGTCTCAAACTATCTGTTGTTGTTTGGTTACTTTTAAAAAACTCAGCCACTGCTGTATTCAAAATTATTTTATAGTCATCTTTGTTTATATCTTGTAGGCAGGCAAGGTGTTGTAGACAGGCATCATAATTTCCAGCCTAAAACCAGAAAAATACAAATAAAATTACCTATCAGCTTTAAGAACTATACATTCATTTCCAAATATATTTCATTCATCTTTATTTGAAAAACTCTTTTAAAAGACAGATATAAACTCCCTTAAATATACTAATTAAAGTCATTAGATGAAGCAATATTCATGTCAATTAAGAAATTGTGATATGTCAATTACATCTCAATAAAACTGGAAAAAAACTGTAGATATTTATTTTCTAAGACTCAAACTCTAACACTGATACACATATATTATATCTGTAAGACATATATAGACATATGTATACTGGTATATAATATACCTATATATAATATATACATAACAACATAATATATATATATAAATATATAAATATATATATATAGCGCAATATATATTGCTAGTAGGGTATAATAGATGAGGCTAGCCAAGAAAGGTAATACGATTAATTACTCCAAATTTTAATTTCTAGTACAGTAGTCCCTCCTTATCCACAGGGATTAATTTCAAGACCCCCAGTGGATGCCTGAAACCGCAGATAGTACCAAACCCTACAGATACTATGTTTTTTCCTATACATACATACCTGTGATAAAGTTTAATTTATAAATTAGGCATAGTAAGAGATTAACAACAATAAATTCTCTTTGGCATATCCAAACTGCCAGCATCATTACTATTGCACTTTGGGGCCATTATTAAGTATGATAAGGGGTTACTTGAACACAAGCACTGCGACACTGTGACAGTCAATCTGATAACCAAGACGACTACTAAGTAACTAACGGGTGGATAGTATATACAGGATGGATATGATGGACAAAGGGATGATTTACATCCTGGGTGGGACTATGCAAAATTTCATCACGCTACTCAGAACAATGCATAATTTGAAACTTATGAATTGTTTATTTCTGGAATTTTCCATTTAATATTTTTGGACCATGGTTGACTGCAGGTAACTGAAACTGTGGAAATCCAAATCATGGATAAGAGGAGGCTACTGTAAATATACTTTGAATACCCAAGTATCGAGTTCTTCTGCTTACATGTACATAACCTGATAATCAAATGAGGTCTTCTTTCATATTGTCAAATTTCAGAAAAGTTCAAGTTTTGAGCCAGCCCTGATGGCCTAGTGGTTAAAGTTTGGTGTGCTCTGCTTCGGCAGCCTGGGTTTGGTTCCCGGGCGTGGAACCACACCACTTGTCTATCAGTAGCCATGCTGTGGCAGTGGCTCACATAGAAGAACCAGCAGGACTTACAACTAGAATATTCAACTATGTACTGGGGCTTTGGGGGTAAAAAAAAAGAGAGAGAGAGAGGACGATTGGCAACAGATGTCAGCTCAGGGCAAATTTTTCCCAGCAAAAAAAAGATTCATACTTGACAGATCCTAAAAATGGAGCAGATTAAGAGAACCATTTCTTACCGTGAAAGCTTGGAAAGCATTGGTGGACAACTCCTTCTCTTGATCAGTGATCCCAGAGGACTGACCTGTCCCCTCATGTTTCTCTGCTCCCTGATCTGCAAACACAGAGGTTTTACAGTTTTTTAGAAACATGAGCTGTGCAGTGAATGTGTCCCCAGTTTTCTTAATTATCTTCTTCCTAATGAAGCTGCCAAAGTTAGAGTTCTCTCAACTACAATGGCTAATTAGTGTTAAAAGTGAGTAAGAAGCCACTCCTCTGAGAACTTAAAGAAGAAATGTGTCCCTTGGCCGCGGTCAGGCACAATGAAAACCCACCATCACTTATGTAAGGATTACAGCTCTGTCCATCAGGTAATTCGGGCTGAGAAGGCTGTGCTCTCTTAAAAATATGAGATTGCCCTCCAGCAATACACCAAAAGTCCCACATATTCAAGAAACTATGCCAGGTCCTGGAGACACAAGATTATAAATACATGTACAATGCCTTCAAGAAGTTTATAATCCAGTTGGAACATACTAACACTTAACAATTAGAAAGCTAAACTAATAAGAACTCAGTTAATTTCCAAGCAAAAAATGCTTTCATAGGCTTAGAAATCCAAAAGCCAAGATTAACACATTTGAAAAGCTTCCTTAACATGATTAAGTGTCCATATACATTCTAAGATTAATGATTCCTGCCCCACAATTTACTATTTTAAAAATTAGACTTTTTGTTTTTTTAGCGAAAACAGAATTCCAAAATAAATGTAAAAAAAAATCTCAGCTGAACCAAGTCTAAAACCACTCAAGTACAACACTTTTAATTGCTCTGACAAATGCTTCAATACTTTATCTTTCACTAAAGAAGAATCATCATCGATCCCAAAATGTGTAGGCACAACTGCAGTCAAATTATCTCATCTCTTCTTGTTCACAATGAATCTTTCTAGACTAAGCCCAGTCTATATTGTGACAGATGATTTTTGTAGGGGAGGGGCTCGCAGGAACCTTTCCTCCATTTTCTTTTTCTTGGGATTTGAAGTCTTGATGTCAGATGAGTGACAGGAACCTAAATCATGAAATCACACTCTGGTACTTACTGAGTTCTCACAAACTTCAATCCTTTGTCTGTAAATTACATAGTAGTAGCCTTAAACATAATTAGAATGATTTAAAAACATAGTTCCCATTCTATATAGAGAAACAGACCTGAGCTTTTAACTTCTTTTAAAGGAAAGAAGAGCAACAAAGTAAGTTATAGAAGTTAATAAGAATAAATACTTCCAGGCAACCAAATCTACAGAGCTGTTAAACGCAGCATCTAATGCACCAAGGCACTGTAAAAACTGGTAAGTCCTTTAAATCTGTGTTTAAACAGGTTTCAAAATCTTTCAGCCCCTTTTACCTTTATTCAATGCCATAATAATAATAAAGACTTTGGGAATGGGAATGGCAGGGAGGGGGGAAGTGACGGTGTCTTGAGAAGGTATAGCTAGCCATAACGTTATGGATTATTTTAACTTTATTTAACATCAAATTAACCACCACATTTCTTGCTTTTCCCTGAGGTACTGATCTCAAAATACAAGTTGTACTTAATAGTCTTTAGAAACTCTTTTCTTCTACGATTTACAAATATTTTTCCCACTTAGAAAATTTTCTTTTGATTTTAAAAAACCACCAATCTACTTTTCTATAAATTTTCTGGATCTTTTTATTCTCCAATCCCCTCCCCCAACTTGCAATTTTGAAAATTTTCATACCCACAGAAAAGCTGAAAGAATATACAATGAACACCCATATTGTCTTCACCTAGATTTACTTTTTTTTACATTAAGCTTTTTATTCTAAGATAATTGTAGATTCATATGCAGTTGTAAGAAATACAGCGAGATCCCTCCTATCCGTTACCCAGTTTCCCCCAATGGTAACACCTTGTAAAACTGTAGTAAAATATCACAACCAGGATACTGACAACGATATGGTCAAGAAACACATTTCCATCAACACAAAGATCCTTCCTCTTATACTTTTATAGCCACACCCATTCTTCCTTCCTGCCTCCCTACCCCCAGCAACCAGTAATTTCTTCACCATTTCAATAATTCTGTCATTTCAAGAATGTTATATAAATGGAGATTCATAATTTTTTAACATTTTGCCACATTTGTTTTCTCTCTTGCTATTTATAGATACTTTTCGCTGAATCATTTGAAAGTAATATGGCACTAAACTCCTAAATACTTCAGCATGCCTCTCCTAAGATTAAGGACATTCTCCTACAGAACCAAAATAAAACGATCACTAAGAAAAGTAACAATAATTCAATAATATCATCTAACAAATAGTCTATTAATTTCCATTCAAATTTCCCTAATTGTTCTAGGAAATGTTTTATAGCTTTGTTTTTCTTTCCCAATCCAGGAACCAATCAAGGCTCACACATTTCCCTTTGTTGTTAAGTAGCTTTAGTTTCTTTGACTCCAGAACACCTCCTCATCATTTTTTTGCTTATCGAGTCACTGATTTTTTTAAAAACTTACAGAGTCTAAGTTAATTACCTTGTAGAATGTATCACATTCTGGATTTATCTGCTTGTTTCCTAAATTACATTCAGTTTAACATTTATGGCAAGAATATTATATAGATGATGTGAATATTAATTGTTTTTAATGTTAATATTTTAATTTTGTTTAAAAAATCTGCCTGTTGGGGCCAGCCCAGTAGTGTAGCGGTTAAGTGCCCACGCTCTGCTTCAGCAGCCCGGGGTTCACAGGGTCGGATCCCGGGCACGCACCAACGCATCGCTTGTCAAGCCATGCTGTGGCAGCGTCCCATGTAAAGTAGAGGAAGATGGGCATGGATGTTAGACTGGTCTTCCTCAGCAAAAAAAAGAGGAGGACTGGCATCGGATATTAGCTCAGGGACGATCTTCCTCACAAAAATTTTAAAAAAAAATCTGCCTTTTGTTTTAAAAAGGTACCTTTTATATTTCTATATCTCCCAAAGAATATTCTGTTTCTTGGTTTTATTCACCAACAAAAGCTCAAGGCATCATTAACAGAAATACCAATAAAAAGAAATACGACCAGTGCATAAATGAGATGCCATGGGTGGCAAACATAGGATTGTGAAGGTGATGTCACTGCTTATGACTCGGAATAAAGAAGAATTTCAAAGTCTCATGATATTTGAACTTCTTATTTATACAGGCAATTTTTTTCAGATAGAACTGTTGCCTCAGCCTGGAATTTAAAGACTTCCAAAGCTTGAACCCAGCTGCAAAATGGGGATAAGAAAATCCTTTTTAGAGTTATTGGGAGGCTTTAATAAGAATACGTGTAAAGTAATTGGCATCTATCTGGCAGAGTAAGCCCCCAATATGTGGCACAGTAGCACAGATTCTATTACTTTCAACATATAGCTGGGAGGCAGGTAGCACAGGGAGGTGGAGACAGTATTTGGACTTGAAATAAGAACACTAAGGCTCTAGTGCCACTTGTGAAATTAAATGATACAGAAGTGGAACTGGGGCAAATGGCAGTTTCCCTATTTACTAAAATGAGGGTCTGTATTAGATGGCTTTTATGGTCCCTTCCAACCCAGAAATGCAGTAAGCCTAAACAAGCTTCTATAAAGAAACTGATATGTTTGTTTACAAAGCAACACTCAAATCCAACTAAGGTAGCAATGGAAGAAAAATCTCCATATGGGGAGAAATGATGGACCATCTTGTCCCCCAAATTTACTACTCAATAATTCCTATACCTACCACCATCACCCAAGTTGCCCAGAAGACACTGTTCACTCTTTAACATTGGGCACACAGAGACACACAACACTTGCCCGGGAATTATTTTTTGTTTTTTTTCTGAGGAAGATTCGCCCTGAGCTAACATCTGTTGCCAATCTTCTCTTTTTTTGCTTGAGGAAGATCAGCCCTGAGCTAACATCTGTGCCAATCTTCCTCTATTTTGTATGTGAGTGGCCACCACAGCATGGCTGACGAGTGGTGTAGATCCGCCTGGGATCTGAACCTGCAAACCCGGGCCGCCAAAGCAGAACATGCTGAACTTAACCACTACGCCATGGGGCTGGCCCCCCAGGAGTTATTTTTTTAACTGTGATAGGTTGGCTTGTATATAATAAATTCAGGCCATTCATTCAATGAATAAATAGCTGAGAGACCACTATGGATCAAGCATTGTTCCAAGTGCTAGGGATACAAATGTGAACCACAGAGACAAGGTTCCAGCACTTGTGAAACTCAAGAGACTCCTTGGGAAGATAGTATGCAAATACACAATTCCAGATCTGAATAATGCTATGACAATAACAGGGGGCTGTGAGAGAGAGGGGTGGGTGTAGGAGGTGAGGCTGGACCTAAATGAGGAGGAGTCAGGCATGGGAAGTCCTGAGGGAAGAGGGCTACAAATGATAACTGCTTGCAGCTTTGAAACAACCATCATTCCTTCCATCCTCTACTATGCCAGGTTCTAGCTTAAGATATCTGCTTCCCCATCCTATACTACCTGCAATTTCTAATTGTAACAGCAACAACAATAGCAGCTAACATTCATTGAGTGCTTACTATGTGTTAGGCATGTTCTAAGCACTTCAAATGGATTAACTCACTTAATCTTCAAATCAGTCCTCAGGCGGGTCCTCTCATTCTGTAGCTGAATAGACTGAAACACAGAGTGGTAAGAACTTTGGCCAAGGTCACAAAGTTAGTAAGTTACAGAGCCAGCCTCAAACTCTAGCAGATTTCACTCCCAATCACCTGAGAACCACACTGCGTTGTCCCCAGGGAACCTTCTCCTCAGTACTGGGTCTAGGATTGGAAGGGGAAGGGTAGCCTTAAGGGTCTGCAGAGTCCCCAGCTCCTTTCCTCCCCCTTTTCAGGTTGCTCTCTTTGGTCTAAGAGAAAGGACCACCCAGTTCAGAGACTCCTCCCTTATAGAGGAATTAGCGTTTCCAGTTCCTCTGTTCAGCATCCTCTCCTCAAATGCCACGCCTGGACCACTCACTGTGGCCAGTTACCTCCTTGGAGCTCACCACTCCCATCTTCAGGGTGACAGGGCTCTGGACATTCACTGGTGTCAAGCTCCCT